AATTGAACACAGTTTTTTGGCGAGGTGGCAAAAGATATGTCATTCAATTGTGTAGAGGACGGTTGGTAGCTCTGCCGCGCACGGGCAGAAATCGTGGCAGGCCTCCCAATAGAAAAAGCAAACCTGTTCCGTCAGTGCGTGCTTCTTTCACTTCCAATTGACGAGTTGCGTGCGGTGGCCGCGGCCTCCAAGCTTGGATTCCAGCAGATTGTGTGGACGCTGACTGGCAAGTGTGGCATTCAAGGGTTTCCAGGGCTCAGGGTGCAAAAACTATTTGGGATGAGGAACGCAATGTAGGTCAGTTATCCTGGGCTTCCCCTCTCCTTTTCCACCCGCTCCTTCGATTGTATCGAGGACAATGGGGGGAGGGGGAAGGCCAAGAGGAGTGGATTTGTGTTGTTTTCCTCGTCCCATTACCAGTGTCATTTGTGAAAAATGCTCGCCGGTGGGCGAGGGCTGGGCTGCCCTATCAGGCCATCAAGGACGCAGCTCAGATGCAGATCGCGCTTGTGACAGGCGGGTGGTTTCATGATTTTGACGTAGTGCCTCTGCAGCCGCCAGGAGCTGCGTGGAAGGCCGTCGCGACTGGTCTCGACTTGGTAGTCGCTAGCCACTTGCGCCGAGCCCGAGGGGTGCCCCGGAGTGGCATCGTCGAACACTGGACAGACAGCAGCGCAAGCCGTGCTAACAATGCGAGGGCTCGTGGGGTTTTGAATGTCACGTGGAGCCCGCCCGTTGCTGTTCGATGCAAACGCACAGCGTCGGTGCTGACTGCCGCGCGCGATGCTCTGTTTGCGAGTATGGATTCGCTCGCAGAGGCTTTCCGAGATCGTCCGATAGGCGTGGCCACTGACTTGCTGCCAGCTCTAGGAACCGGACCGCGCGCGCGGCCAATGACATGGAGGGAGCGGGCGCAGGGCACGGGTGCAGTGATTGAGGCGGCGAACTCCATCGCTGCCAAGAATTGCGCCGTTGCTCCTTTCATATTCAACCCATACCCTTTGTGGCTGCGAACCGAACCTCATGAGACTGACACGAGGCACGTGTACAACGTTCCCATCGCATCATACAACTTGGCGGTGCAACGCGCGTTGACATTGAACTTGTGGGGGCGCCAGTGGCCCCGGGAGCTGCAGACGATCATGCTGACTCGGTTTCAGGGCGAAAAAAACATCTCGTCGCCTTCACGTGCGCTCTTTCTTGAGATCCGTGCCATGTTTCTCACGTGCAAACCGCGCGCACGTCGTGCGCAACTCTTGCCATACCGCGCGCATCTCAGAGAGCACTACTACACCAGCAACATCCACGCCGCACACGTGCCATTACCATAGACATGCCTTGCACATCGCGTTTGCCACGAAAACAAATAGCATGCACAACTTCGCAGGCCATGGGTTCTTGAGGCCGTTCGGGCTTAATGAGCTCCCCAAGCCCACGGGCCCGATGAGGCCTCTAGGCGCAAGGCATTCAATCGAACTCCTGGGCCCCGTGGGCCTCGAGAGTCTGCAGAGTTCCTGGCCGCTGCTTCCGACCCCAGCTCGTCCCGCGAAGCTCCTGGTAGACGAAGTAGGTTAGGACGTCGTCGAGCAGCTTGCTTGGGCATGGGTTTTCTGGGCCCCGTCGTCTAAGCAACTCCTCCTCCTCCCCGTCCTCCCTCCTCCTCCTCCTGCTCCTCCTGCTCCTCCTCCTCCTGCTCCTCCTCCTCCTCCTCCTCCTCCTCTTCCTCCTGCTCCTCTGCCTCCTCCGATCCCAGCTCGTTCTACAGAGCCCTTGGCAGACGAACTACATAGGAACGTCGTAGACCAGCTTGCTTGGGCATAGGCTGTCGAATCCTCATCGCCCCCACCTCCTTTTTATCCCCCTCTTCTTCCTCCCCCCACCCCCCCTCTCTTCTCCCCCCCTCATCCTCCTCCTTATTTTCTTCCTCCTCCTCATCATCATCCCCGCCTCTTCTTTCTCATGCAATGTCTTCTTCTTATTCTTCTTACCTCCTTCTCCTCGTCTTCCTTCCTCAGGCCCACGGTGGCTGACTGCCCTGCTGCTTCTTTCGGTCGTGGTTCCTCCCACAGAGCCCCTGGCAGGCGTGCTAAACAGGAATGGCGTGGAACAGCTTACTTGGGCATGGGTTTTCGAGTCCCCATCGTTTTGCCATTTCCTCCTCTTCCCCCTCCTGCCACTGTTTCTCTTCCCCCTCTTCCTCCTCCTCTTCCTGCCTTCTCTTCCTCCCTCTTCCCTTGTTGTTTTCCTCCTCCTCCTCCTTCCTCCTCCCTCCCCCCCATCATCCTGCTTCTTTCTTTTGGCATCCATCCTTCTTTTACTTCCTTTTCCTCGTCTTCCTTCCCCGGGCCCACGGTGGTTTACTTCCTTTCTGCTTATGCCGACCTTGGCTCGTCTTACAGAGCCCTTGGCAAACGTGCTAAACTGGGACGACGTATATCCGCTTACTTGGGCATGGATTTTCGAGCCCCCATCGTCTTGCCACTTTCTCTTCCTCCTCCTCCTCCTCCTCCTCCTCCTCCACCTTGTCCTCCTCCACCTTGTCCTCCTGTTCCTCCTCCCCCCTCCGCGGCTTCATCCTCATATTTCCTCCTTCTCTTCGTCTTCCCTCCTCCGACCCACGGTGGTTTACGTCATTGCTGGTTCGTCTGGCCATGGCTCGCCCTACAGACCCCCCCCCGCAGGCGCGCTAAACAGGAATGGCGTGGAACAGCTTACTTGGGCATGGATTTTCGGGCCCCCATCGTCTTGCCGCCCCCCCCCCTCCTGTTCCTCCTCTTCCTCCTCCTGTTCCTGTTCCTCCTCCTCTTATTCCTCCTCCTCCTCCTTCTCATTATTCTCCTCTTCCTCCTCCTCGTGCTCGTCCTCCTCCTCCCCTTCCTCCTCCTCGTTATACTGTTCCTCCTCCTCTTCCTCCTCTCTCATTCTTCCTCGTCCTCGTCTTCCTCCTCCTCTTTCATTCCTCTTCTTCGTCCTCCTCCTCCAGTCGTTTGTCCTCTACATTATCGTCCTCCTCTTTCCTCCTTCTCCCCGCCTTTCCCCCCGCAGGCTCACGGTGGCGTACGTCATTGCTGTTTGTTCCGATCCTGGCTCGCCCCATTGACCCCCTTAAAGACGTGTTAAACAGAGACGTCGTAGAGCAGCTCACTTGGGCATGGGTTTTCGTGTCGTTCGCCTCCTCGTCGTTCTGATGTCCCGTCTTCCTCCTTCCCCTCCGCCGCGTTTGGCTCAAGACTCGCCAACCACCCGCTGCCGACATCGAACCATCCGAACCACCATGGTTAAATTGATTTATACGCCAATCAAGAAGTGCTTGCATTGCGCAGCAAGGACGTTTAAAAGGCACGGGCAGAAATGCGTCGCTGCATCGGTAGTCGGTTCGGACAGCATTGCCGAGGTGAACACAATCCACACGCAGTGCGGGCGGCGCGGCTGCAGGGTCGTTTACCGCACGAACTTCGCGTGGCACGGCCCCAAGAAATTGAACACCTTCACGTTCAACCAGGTGAAGAAGCAGGGGCTTTATTTTGTGACCAACAAGCTCGGGTTTACGATGCCGTACCTGGAACTCCAATACCTGCGCCTAATGCGCGGCCGCCTGGTGCCTGGGCAGGAGGCGGACGCCCTTCAGATGCATCATGGGCAGGACTTAGCGTCAAAGAGCAAACGCAATCTGAGGGATAACCTCCTCCATGCGCTTGAAGGCTTCGCCCTGGCGAAGCGCACGCCCGATGACGTGGTGCAGTTCGACGTCAATTTCCCGGCCGGCGCCTTCACCACGGACAGGAGCCCGCTGCTGTTCCCTCCGCCCACAGAGTGCAAGTCGATCTGCTTCGACGGTTTGTTCGGGCTGAACCGTGCCCTGGACCCTGACGTCGACGGCCCGCGCCGCACCCTCGGGAAGATCAGAAAGAAGACCGCGAAGAAACCGAGCGGCAAGAGGTCGGGCTCGAAGGCCGCGAAGAGCGTGGTCAAGGCGAAGCCCAAGAAGAAACAGTTGTACTACAAGGACGAGGAGAGGACGGTCTCGTGCGCTGCCAAGGACAAGATCAGGCGGACGTTGGCTGGCCGCACGGGCGGGTGGCAGTTCGCCCTCGACCCTGCTACAATGCGAGTCCTCGGAGCCATGGAACACAAGGAGAATGAGTGCACGACGGACAAGATCACGTTGCTCACGGCGGTGATGGGGATGGAGAAGGTAAACGCCGACCTCCTGATCCACGACGACATGTGCCACTTCGAGAGGTCTGCGTTGATCCACGCGCCCGAGGCTTTCGCCGCAGTAAAATACTGGGTCATCGACAAATTCCATCGGAAGAACCACACCTGCAGCAAGTGCACGTGGACGCACAGGGAGAAGATTCGCTGCAAGGGCGTTCCAACCAGTGCGGCCGAGGTCTTCAACGCTTGGATCCGCGTGGTGAACTTCTTCGTCAACTCCATGCGGCCAGCCAGTCACCGATTCTGGGTGGCCGAGTTCATCCTCTTCTTCAACGATCACCCAGAGCACGGCAAGCTGATTCTGGAGAAGCCCAGGTTCCACAAACCGGGCAGGCGCGCATCGCAGGACTGAGTGCATTCACGCTGCTAGGGGGCCGCGTGCTAGCTCTCCACGGGCGGGCGAGCCCGTCGAGGTAGTGGAGCTCTGACCAAGTCGCCGTTGTTCGATTGAGATTTGTGACCGGCGTTCGCAAGTCCTCGCGCTGCGTGAGGAACGCAGATAGGCAGGACTGCGCGCCCGAGCGAATTCGCCATTGCATTCCAGGCTTTGGAGACACTAGGAGATCTAGAGTGAACTTGCTTGGGCGCGAAGCAGGCTTTGAGGGGCGAGAAACATTTCTTGGGCCCACGCGGCCCTCAACCCCGCGCCCAGAAGAGCTACCTAGAGCCCCCATCCGCGCCCCGTCTTGCAAATGTGCGCCGCAGCTCCCTCTGCTCAAGCGTCCTCTTGCGGCATCGCATATTGATTCTCCCGCGGGGCAGCGGGCGTTGCGCGAGGCGCGATGGCGGTCCGCGTCGAGACGCTCTTCGACGAGCTGATCGCGTCGAACTCCAGGTCTGTTTACGAGGCGCACCAGCGTGGCACCGTCGAGCCTGCGTCTGAGCACGGGATCGGCATCTCCGACATCAGGGCCTTCCTGGAAAACTTGCCTTGCGAGGGCAGACAGAAGCACCAGAAGTTTTGGAAGGTCGTCGTCGACTACTTGGCGGAGTGGGTGGCCCCAGACGACTTCTCGTTGGAGGCGCTCGGGGGCGCTGCGAAGGACGGGCCGCAGGGTGCGCCAGGAGAGAGCGAAGAGCAGTGGGCAGAGAGGGAGCGAAGGGCTGGGGGACTGCCTCTAGGTAAAGAGCAGCTTGCGCGGGGCGATTATATGCAAGTGGTGGTGGAGAAGAATGAGAACGGCACATACGCCGTGATGAAAATCTCAAACCTGAAGGAGGCGATCAGCGCTGCGGCCGCGCACGCCCTGTGCCAGCAGGGCGCGCTGCGCGCCCCTCGCCGCGCCAACTCCCACGGAGCGCGCAAGGCGTTCCAAACGATCTTGCAGAAGGCGAAGGGGTGGAAGCTGATGTTCGCGAAGACTGCGGGCGAGGCCGAGGCGGAGGACCCGAGCGCGCGGGGGCGGGCCAGCTCAGGTGGAGAGCGGACGCCGACAACGGAGGAGATCACGCGGGGGATGGAGTTCATTCAGGACAACGCTCCGCCGGCAGGGACGATGGCGCAGGCGGAGTGGCTCCTGATCCACAACAAGGCGGTGGACTCCCCCATCCGCGGGTGGCCCGCGCAGTACGTTAACAAAATCTGCGAGGTAAAGGCGAAGAGCAAGATGGTGGCGGAGTTGGAGCAATACTTCCCCCTGAGATTGCACGACCTGAAGGACTCTATCCTCCGCGACGCGGTCGCTCCGATGGCCCCGTGCTTGCCAGACCACGGCTTGATTGCCGTCGGCCGACCAGAGGCAGGGAAGACGCCCTTCGCGTTCCTCCTCATGGCCTCGTGCATCGGCCAGCATTGGATTGACGCGTTGGGCATCGATGGAGCGAAGCCTGGTTGGTACCGCGCGAAACAGTTCGACGACATGAGGGGCGTAGAGGGCAACATCTATAACGGGGTCGTGGTCGACGACGGCAACGTCCCCAGGTTCAGGTACGACGATGTGAAGCAGTTCTTGGACGCTGGGTTTAAAGGGCACGTCGATTGTCGATACTCGCCAGTCTCCTTCGTGAAGAACTGCTTCCGCGCGATCTGCGATAACACCTGGGACAAGGATGCCGAGCCCCCGAACCCGAAGCATGGCGACGTGTTGACGCGGGAGGAGTTTCTCCCTATGCTGCGGCCGCCCTCCCCGCGCGTCCCCGAGGAGGACCTGCTTGCTATCCTCAAGCGGGGCGTCGTGATCATCGCGGGATACAGAGCCATCTACCTGCGCTTGCCGTCGTCTTCACAGGAAGCCTCCATCTCCGCGGTGGCGGAGGGCGAGGTCGGCGACAACTGGTTTCAGAGGGCGAACATGAGCGCCTACGGGGCTCTCAAGCGGGGCGTCAAGGAGTACCCAGACGGTTTCAAAGAGGCCAAGATCGCCGAGGCCGAGCTCTTCGCTAGCCTGCTGGCCTCGCAGCCCCACGGTGCTGGAGAAGCTTCGTCGGCGCGCGACGATCCAATTCCCGCGTGGGACGGCTCGTTGCCCGCCAGCTCGGAGCGCGCGCCCGGCTTGTGGGCGCTCCTGCAGCCAGAGAAGCAGTCTGCGTTGGCCAGCTTAGCCTATCAGTCTATCCAGCGTAACGGCGGTTTGTCAGCATCCGTCTTCCATGACATGCGCGCCGAGTTCGGCATCGGCCGCGACGTTGCCTCCGACGTCGCCCGCTACTTCCTGGCAGGGGCCAAGGGGGCAAAGGCGCTGTCGAAGGGCTCGGAGGCGGGCGCGGGCAAGGCACTTGACGGCGACGCCGTCGCCGAGATGGATCCCGATGGCCCACGCGAGAGCGCTCTCCAGAGCGATGAGGCGGCATGGGACGATCTACAGAATGATGCGATGGCTTTTCTGGGCTTGGACACCGAAGCGCCCGACGAGGTGCCCGGCGGCGACGCCGTCGCCGAGAGCGAGCTCAAGGGCGCGTTCGAGGACGCGCTCAAGCGGGACGAGGTGGCGATTGATGAGCTACATCGCGATGCGATGGACTTCTTGGGCACGGACAATCCGCCACCAGAGAAAGGCATGAAGTACTTTGCGCCGCGGATCGGAGGCGCTTGGCTGGAGGCCGCGGAGAGGCTGCTGGGGAAGGAGAAGAACGCAGATCTCATCGCCGACGAGGCCGTAGGCGATCTCATCGTCGACGAGGCCACGGGCGAAGCGAGCCGCTCGGCGCCGCCCAAGAGGAGGCGCATCTTGGGCAAGCGGGGCGCGTGACCTGCTGCCGCCACGGGGAACTGCATGTCCAGGCGCGCTGCGCTCGTTGCCTTGCTACGCTACGCGCTGCCCGACTTTAATGCGACACTGGGCACAGTGGATAAGAAATCAGCCTGCCAGGTAGAGCACCACGGGCCTTCCAATCCCCCCTGCACCCTGGGAACCAGACGAACACCTAGGGCACCAGGCAATTGATAAACATCAGCGCAGGAGGTGCCCCAAGAAATCAGAGGGCGAGGTTTTCTTATCGTGCACAGCTGCTGTGATGTGTAGCTCTGTGGGTTAGAGCTGCGTCGTGCAATTGTTGCCTTGCAATTAAGGGCAGCGTGCTTTGCAGGCTGGCTCCCGACGCCCGCCGACTAACGGCGATTCGGTCGGTCATTCCCTTCCGCCCCTCCTCGCCCTTTTCTGCTTCATCCGTCGTTTCCGCTTCCTGCTTCTTTTCCTCCTCCTCGCCGTTCATCTCTTGTATTCAATCCTTCTCCGTCGTCCTCCTTGTCCTCTCTCTCCCCCCTCGCCATCCGCTTCCCAATGCGTTTCCTCGCTCGCACGCATGTTTCCTGTATCCCTCCTCCCCCTCGCTATTTTATCGCGTTTCTGGCGTGCGCTCGCGACGACACACTAGTGCAGGTTGCGTTGAGTTGGCGTAGCGTTCCCTCTTGAAAAACAAATGGCCACTCAGCCTTTGGGGAGAAGCGGGGCGTGTGCAAATTGAAGAATCTATTTCGAACGTTCGTTTGGCACGTGTTCGGACTTGCATTCGGCCGCGGCAGCGGCTGTTCCTCGCCGCCCTGAGACCCAACGCGTAGATCTTCGAACGGAAAGGCGATGAGGATGAACAGCGTGAATCCGGTGGTGACGAGGGTGAGATTGCCTGATATTGGAATGACGCTGGGGAAGAGGAGAAGGAGGAGGGGGCATGGGGAAGGGGATGATGAGGACGGGAAGGATGTGCACGAAAAGAAGGAGGAGGCGGAGGAGGATCACGGGGCGGCGAGGGAGGAAACCGCAGGGGCAAGTAGTCAGGCGGTCAGGTGGTAGGGTGGTAGGGTGGTAAGGTGGTACGGTGGTACGGTGGTAAGGTGGTAAAGTGGTCAGGTGGTCGGGTGGTAGGGTGGTAAGGTGGTCAGGTGGTCAGGTGGTCAGGTGGTCAGAGTTACTTGGGCATGGGTTTTCCAGGTGGTAAGGTGGTAAGGTGGTAAGGTGGTAGGGTGGTGGGGTGGTAAGGTGGTAAAGTGGTGTAAGGTGGTCCGGTGGTCAGAGTTACTTGGGTCTTCTGGTGGTAAGGTGGTAAGGTGGTAAGGTGGTCAGAGTTACCTGGGTATGGGCTATCTGGTGGTAAGGTGGTAAGGATGTAGGGCGGCACGGTGATCAGGTGATAAGGTGGTAAAGAGGTCAAGTGGTACAGTGGTGTAAGGTGGTAACGTGGCCAGAGTTACTTGGGCATGGGTTTTCTGGTGGTGAGGTGGTAAGGTGGTAAGGTGGTAGTGTGGTGAGGTGTCAAGGTGGTAAGGTGGTCAAGTGGCAAGGTGGTAGCGTTGCCAGAGTTACTTGGGCATGGGTTTTCTGGTGGTGAGGTGGTAGGGTGGTAAGGTGGTAAGGTGGTAAGGTTGTAAAGTGGTCAGGTGGTAAGGTGCTAAGGTGCTAAGGTGGTCAGGTGGTACGGTGGTACGGTTGTGAGGTGGTAAGGATGTCAGGTGGCACGGTGGAAAGGTGGTAAAGTGATAAGGTGGCACGGTGGTAAGGTGGTAATGTGCGTAAGAAAGTCGGGTGGTAAGGTGGTCAGGTGGTCAGAGTTATTTGGGCATGGGTTTTCAAGTCGGCATCGCCTTGTCACGGCTCTGTTTCTCCTCCTCCTTCTTTTCCTCCTCCTGTTCCTCTCTCCTCGTTTGTCTCGTCCTCCTCCTCATCATCCTCGTACCTTCTCCCCGTCTCCCCCTGATCAGGCGAGGGTGCTGGACCCTCTGACGTGTTGCACCCTCTGCTTGGCAAAACCCGCCCCCAAACTGATTCAAAACGCATCCTCGGTGATAGGTAGGCCCCTCTACGGTGCTGCACCCTCTGCTAGGCAAGACCCCGCCCCAAGCTGATTCAAACAACATCCTTGGTGCTAGGCATGCCCCATCTGTTGTGATAGACCCTCTGCTAGGCAAGACCCCTCCCCAAGCTTTGTTCCTTTTTAAAAATAAAAACAAACAAACTGGTGCTAGACAGGTTGTCAGGAGGTCAGAGTTACTTGGGCATGGGTTTTCTGGTGGTAAGGTGGTAATGTGGTAAGGTGGTAGGGTGGTAGGGTGCTAAGGTGGTAAGGTGGTAAAGTGGTGTAAGGTGGTCCGGTGGTCAGAGTTACTTGGGCATGGGTCTTCTGGTGGTACGATGGTAAGGTGGTAGGGTGGTACGGTGGTAAGGTGGTAAGGTGGTAAAGGTGGTCAGAGTTACTTGGGCATGGGTTATCTGGTGGCAAGGTGGTAAGGATGTAAGGTGGTACGGTGGTAAGGTGATAAGGTGGTAAGGTGGTCAGGTGGTCAGGTGGTAAGGTTGTAAGGTGGTAAGGTGGTAAGGTGGTAGGGTGGTACGGTGGTAAGGTGGTAAGGTGGCAAGGCGGTAAGGGGGTTAAGGTGGTAAGGTGGTAAGGTGGTCAGGTGGTAAGGTGGTCAAGTGGTAAGGTGGTACGGTGGTAAGGTGGCAAGGTGGTAAGGTGGTAAGGTGCTCAGTTCGTAAGGTGGTCAAGTGGTCAGGTGGTAAGGTGGTCAGGTGGTCAGGTGGCAAGGGGGTAAGGTGGTAAGGTGGTCAGGTGGTCAGGTGGTCAGGTGTTCACGTGCTGAGGTGGTCAGGTGGTAAGCTGGTAAGTTGGTCAGGTGATCAGGCGGTACGGTGGTCATGTAATCAGGTGGTAAGGTGGCCAGAGTTACTTGGGCATGGGTTTTGTAGTCGGCATCGCCTTGTCACAGCGCTGGTCATCCTCCTCCTTATCCTTCTCCCCCTCCTGTTCCTCTCTCCTCCTCTGTCTCGTCCTCCTCCGCCTGATCATCCTCATGCATCTTCCTCGTTTCCCCCTGATCAAGCGAGGGCGCTGGACCCTCTGCTGAGTTGCACCATCTGCTGGGCAAAACCCGCCCCCAAACTGTTTCGAAACGCATCCTCGGTGTTCGGTGCGCCCCTCTGCTGTGCTGCGCCTTCTGCTAGGCAAGGCCCCTCCCCAACCCGATTGTTTATATATATATATATATACATATATATATATATATACATATATGAACCTTCCAAGGAAACCTATGCGGAGTCCACCTGAGCGTGCGCGACGCCGTCGATGGATAACGGTTGAGTTTCATCCATCTGCCGTAGCTGTGTTGGCTCGAGACAGGCAGCGGAGTCACCGGGCGGTGCCGCCCGTCTGTGGCCGCTGCCGAGCCACTCTGTCTACTGAAAGTTCGCCGCGCCGAGCGCGGCCGCGTGCAGGCCACGCTCGGACGACTGATTCTGATCAGCCTCGCTGGCAGACTTTGCGGGCTGAGGGGAGCGAAGACCTGGCTGGGAGACGAGGATCCCGGGCGCGGGTCGCCCCTCTCCCGCGCCGCTGCTGGCGAGGAGCCCGATGGAGCGGGCAGCCCCGGGTGCCGCCGGGTGGCCCTTCCCGAGAGGGGCCTGGCTCGACGCGGCGCTGAACGGCGACCTGGTGCCGGGGCTGCCGCTGTGGGCTGGTGCACGGGTCCTGGCGCGCGTCAAGGACGACGACGGGGCGCCGCAGGGCGTCGAGATGCTCGAAGTGGAGGTCGCCTACCAAGCGGACGCCTTCGGCCGTTTCTTCAAGGGCCGGCACGTGGGCGCCAGCGACCCGTACTTCTCATGGTATGCAGCCTCCTCCGGGCAGCAGGGCGCGCGCCCCCTGGCCACGGTCTTCCACCTCTGCAAGTGCAGCGCCGCCGAGTGCGGGGCGGTCGCCCCAGTGGGCGCAGTAGTCGAGCACTTGGACGTGTGGCAGGTGGTGGACCCCCGCGATGTGGCCCGCGAGCAGGCGAAGCTCATCTGCCCGGCCGCGGACCCTGGAGCGCCTGTGCTGACCGACGCGCCCTCGGCCGAGCCGATGCCTGGAGAGCTCGGCGGATGGCCGCTCGGGGACGGGGCCAACGAGGACGAGGAGGAGCCTCGCGGGCCACCGCGCAAGCGAGCCCGCGAGGTGGAGGGCACCCAGACCCCTGGCGGACCAGGAGATACGAGCCCGCTCGACCAGGAGCTTGCTGGGCTCGAGGAGACCGCCGAGGACCCCGAGCTCGAGGCGCGGCCGGCGCGGCTCGGGGGCAAGGCAGCTCGTGGAGCGCCGAGGCAGGGCACGCCCAAGAATGCCGCGCGCCCAGCAGGGGCCGTGGGCGAGCGCCTGGCGCAGGTGGTAGCTGGCCGAGCCGCCGCTGCTGCCCCTGCGCGCGCCAGCGCCTCGGGATCGAGGAGCAGGCTGGCGTCAGCGTTGACCGCTGCGCTCCTGGGGCGCGACGACGACGACGCGGAGGACGGCGCGGAGAGCGACACGGAGCGCCTCGGGGGCCGCGATCGCTACCAGGGCGTGAACATCAAGCGCGACTTGTTCCGCAGGATCGCTCGGCAGCGGCCTGGTGCTCTCCTCGAGAATGGGCTCGGCCACCTGCGCAGCCAGTTCACCCAGCAGTTGTCCGCGGGCGAAGCCGACCCTCTGGCCCCATGCGTCACGCAGTTCCTGAACACGGTGTTCTTCGTTGCTCACCCGCCGCGCACGCTGGGGACAGACGAGGTGCGGGTCCTCCGCACGCTGGGGCTGGCGCTCGACGGCATCCTGCGCGGAGAGGTCGTCGAGACTGCGGATCTGCTCACGCAGGAGTTCAAGGCGCGGACGATGGCCATCCGCGACGGGAACTGGCGGTCAGCACGGTGGCTCACGCTGGTCGCACAGGAACAGCTTCCATCAGGCGCCTCTCTGGACGAGGAGAACGCCGCCGAGAAGGTCGAGGCCCGGGAGCTGAAGGTCGCCG